AGGGAGCCCGATGCGGGGCTCGATCCCAGGACCCTGGGATCATGACCTGAGCCGAAGGCAGACGCTTAACCATCTGAGCCACCCAGGTGCCCCTGTTTTTTGTTTTTTAAAGTTTTTTTATTTATTTGACAGAGAGAGACACAGAGATAGAGGGAACACAAGCAGGGGGAGTAGGAGAGGGAAAAGCAGACCTCCCGCTGAGCAGGGAGCCTGATGCAGGGCTCGATCCCAGGATCCTGAGATCATGACCTGAGCCGAAGGCAGACGCTTAACGACTGAGCCACCCAGGCGCCCCTGGATTTGATATTTTGAATCAGGATTCTTCTAGAGCTACTCTGAAGTCTTCCTAATGGCCACCTGCAGACTTGTATGGTTGAATCTGATTTACAACCTGAGGCTCTTTGTATATAAAAAGTCAGTACTCCTCCCAAGCCCTATTCCCCAATGATCCACCTAGAATCTTTTCCATAATTAGTAGGTAGGATCCAGCAATGAAGATTATAAAATTATGATTTCTGTATCAGTAACTCAATCCTGATGACCTAAGAACGATCAATGTGATGCTATGCTGAACCTGTTTAGGTTCCATGTGAGATGCAATTTGAACAGAACCATGAAGGATGCGACAGGGAAGGAAAGACATTCCTGGCAACAAAAAAATATACTGGAGTAAAAAAGTAAAAATCAAAGTTAAAATAAACTCCGGAAAAGAAGTCAGCTGGAGCAGAGGTCTTGCAGTTTTATGAAGAAGAAACCGGAGCATGTAAACATCTAAAAACCTGTATCCTCTGAGCAAGAAGCACGGTCCCAATCAGGGTGGATTCAAAAGACCATTCCAATTTCTTATCCCAGCAGTCAAGGCCTCCACTCCATCTCCCTCTGCCTCATCACTTCCAGAGCATTTACTCCTGCCCCTCACCACCAAGCCCAATCCTTTGCTAGAGCCACAACCTTTGGTCCCCTAATTTTCTCACTCACTTCCATTAAGGTCTAACTCTGTGACCCTGCCCACACACTCCTGGGACAGTAGGACTTGTCTGAAAGCCTCATCCACTTGATACCTATGCCACTCATCAGCCATATGCACTGTAATCAACTACACTGTAATCCTTGGACTATAGGAACTCTGCCACAACCCGGATCCCTAGCATACTGTACACCTCCCAGGTCACAACTACTTCAAGTTTTCATTTTCATGACTAAGTAACACTCAAAATAACTTTTCAAAAGTCTTAATGAGATAAAAATGCCTAAGAAAAATCAAAATCATAATTAAAATTCCTTGGATAAGCACAGGTAATACCGCAGATTGTTAGAGGCTGTACTATAACTCACATTTTAAGACAAGAAAACTGAGGCATCTATAAAAGTTTTAAAAGTCAAACATTCTCAAGTTTTGTCTTAAAAATATTCAGGGGAAAGAGGGAGGAAAGTATCACCAAGAGACTCAGTATTTCATAGTTAAAATATAGAGAAAACCATTATTTGAATCTTTTGATGGACTGTCCACGCTGTTTAAAAAGAAGTAAATGACAAAGGTTAGAATAGAAAGGAAGTAAAATCATATTTTTCACAGCCGACACAAATGTCCAACAACACAGCTTAGCAAACTGCAGCTCTGGCCCACTTCCTGTTTTTGTACCATCTGCAAATCTAAGGGTGGTTTTTACAATTTCAGTGGTTGAAAAACGTGAATATTATCTCACCACATGTGAAAATTATATGAACTCCAAATTTCATTGACAATAAGATTTTTTTGGAACACGGCCAGGCTCATTTGTGTAAGTACTGTCTACGGCCATTTTCCTGCTTGTACAACAAAGGCAAAATGGAGTAGTTGCAAGGGAGACTGTAGGGCCCACAACCCCTGAATATTTACTATCCAGCCCTTTCCAGAAGTTTCCCAAACCTGGGATTCTGCAATAATCCTAAATGATCTATTAAAAAGTTATTAGAACCAGTCATTATCAAGGTCACATAAAATAAAGTCAAGATTAAAAAAACCAACTGTATTTCTACAAACTAAAATAAGGAGAGTATCCTTTTCAACATCATCACAAAACATGAAATTTTGGGTAGAAATTTAATAAAATACGCACATGGAAGACCTCTCTATAAG